TGTAGATTCCTATTCAGACTTTGAATAAAATTTAACGATGTCAGTGGTTGTGAGCCACAACGAGAAGCATGTGAAATTCATGGATAGAATTTCAAGACATAGCAACATAAGATGTTATATTTAATCATACTGAATATGGTCAAATATAGGATGATCCTTTTATTCATAGAGAGGATGAGATAGACACTGTTGTCATTAAAGATTGAAATCATTATAAGTTTCTATGTCGGAATTACATCTTGAATGGATTGTTAGATACACCATATGAAGTGTATAGTATCCATAAGATATTAAAGAATTATGAATGACATTTGGTCATATTCTGAGTTGTCACAGAACATGTGGAGGAAGATATTTTATTATCAAATTACCTTTAAATAAGGTAACTTACAAGAAAATAGGCGAGACACCATATGAGTTATGGAAATATAGAAAACTTTCCTACAACTACATCAAAGTGTGGGGGTGTCTTGTATAAGTATAATGGTAAGTCGAAACACATACGTCATCGACATAATATCATTAAACAATTGATATCAACTAGAGTTATTTATATTGATTTTGTAAGATCAGAAGATAGCATTGTGGATCCGCTAAACAATGAGTTGAATTGAGATCAAGTTGATAAACATCGAAAGAAATGTGACTAAAGCCCACTAATATTTAAGGCGCTATGTGAAGGAAAACCCAAATTAGGTTACTAGAGATCCCAAGATCTAAGTTCAATGGGACAACCTACTTGCATAGACCTTGTGAGGTCACTGTGGGGTTCTTATTCTCAAGCCCATTCCTATGATGAAAACAATAACTAAAATGTGGAAAATGATAAGCAATGCTTTTAATGACCACTATGTGTTTCGGTGAGCCGAACAACATAAGTCACCTATGTGAGAGTGAAGTGGAGCCGCTTCAAAGAGACTATTGGGGCATAGTTCTCTAAACTCTTGCAGGACCAAGAGATGTCCACGGCTATATAGACATAACCATGAGAATCAAATTCTTGTCATTGAGATATTTGTGTGAGGTATGTCATCGCTTACACCAACGGCAAGACATTTCAAGGACATCACTTCTACTGGACAACCAGTAAGGTAAACATATTTTCACAAGGGAAGGTTCAAAGGGGGACGCCTACCTATTATATACAAATATCGAACGTAGAATTTATCACCACATCGAGTCAGTGTTTGAACCATCAAGTTCATTCATGTGGGGGATTGTTGGAAAAATTGAATGAATTGATGTTATTTGTAACTAATTAATTATAAGTCATGTCACTTAGTGAATGAACTTAATTTTTGGTTTAAAGTTGCATCCATTCATTCATACCTATTCAACAATTTTCTTCATGAAAAGATTAAATCCTTTCATGAAAAGTTTAAGTCCTTTCATCAAAAGGAGAAGTCTTTTAATCAAAAGGTTAAGTCCTTTCATCGAAAGGTCTTAACTTCTCAATCAATTTCCTCTCCCTATATATAGCCTAGTTTAGGCACAATTACAGACAAGTAACAAGTTACAACACACAAGTTTAGAACTTTGGAATAAGAAAACACTTAGAAAATTCTTACCAAATTTTTTCTTTCCGGTGATAAAGAAATGCAAGATTGTGTTCGACTGATCACTACGGTTGTGCTTACTGTTGTGACCATTTGTTGTTGTATCCTGTGAGACCGACGTCCAACGTTACTCAAAGCACCTAAGAGATGACGAATTTGTCTTAAAGAAACTATTCATACATGTCTCAACAAAATTCTTCTTCGATTTATGTTACTATACTCATCCGATTCATTGTCGAAATATGAGTAAACCAATTTCTTGCCTCTAGATTAAGTTTTATTTATTTTGCTTCGTTCAATTATATAATAATATTTATTATTATTATTATCTCGGATTAACATTTTGTCTAACCCTTTATCTTGTTATATTTGGAAAGCTCGAAATCTTTTTGTTTTTCAGGATATCATGCCTGTTTCAGAAGCGATGCTGCATCAAAGTATTACTTGGAGTAGATTTTATGTCGATAGTATTCCTGTCAGGTTTCCTCGCTCTGCTCCAGTAGAAACAACCATTCAGTGGTGTCCTCCGGACTTGGGATGGATCGCCCTCAACTCAGATGGCGCTGTCTCAGCCAGCACTAGGTTTCGATTGGAGGTATCTTCCGCGATCACTAGGGGAATTATCTTGGTGCTTTTCATAGGTCGATCGGTCCTTGAAGCTGAGCTTTGGGCAATCTATGAAGGTATTCAACCGCGTCTGTGTCCAGCCCTTTTGCTACTGTCCGTGCCATTGCACGTCTCCTTCGGCAAGCCGGGATCATAGATTTCTCAAAAATCTACAGAGAAGCTAACGCGGCGGCTGATTTCCTAGCAAAGCTTGACGGTCCCTCCTCCGATTCTCTAGTTATGGTTGATCATCTTCCATCTCCGCTACAAGCTATCCTGTTTAGAGATCTCAACGGCCCGGCCCCCTTACTCTCGCATAACAACTTGATGTAATGGTCCCTATCCCATAAAAAAAATTATTTTTATTAATTTATTAATGTGTTGATAAGTATGATGAAAAATTAAAAGAAAATGATTTTTTTAGTTTATTGTTTGGTATAGTTAAAAAATGAGAGGGAAATTAAGTTTTGTAAAATATATATTTTAAATCAATTCACATTTCTCAGTTTTTTTCTATTTTTTAAAATTAGAACAATTTAATTTTATATATAAAGATAAAAAATGATCACCTCCCTCGTTTTCTTTCTTATAAATCACATTCAAAAATTATTTTATTTTTGGGTAAACTACACGGGAGACCACTAAACTATAGTCAATAATCAATCTAACCACCGAACTTGTTTTTAAATCAATCAACCCATCAAATTTTTAATTGATTCAATTAGATCATTCTCTGTTAAAAAAATAACGGCGTGTCGTGGCTGCTCAATAAACTTAGAAAACAGTCTTGGGTATGGAGGAATATCTCTGCTCCTTTGAGAAATGAAGAAAATTTGCTTACTTCTAATCTGAGGTGTGTAGTTGGAAATGGGTCGAAAGTGGAATTTTGGGATGACTTTTGGACTCGCTTTCCTTCGCTTCGAAGGGCATTCCCAAGACTGTATAATATTGCTGTTAGGAAACAAGGTAAAGTCAAAGATTTTGGAAGTTTGGTTAACGGTGTGTGGGTGTGGAGAATTGAGCTAAGACGGTCTTTATTCGTTTGGGAAGTTTGTTTGTGGAACGATTTTCTGGCCACTCTAAATAGTGCTGTCTTTTTGGGTGATGTGGATGATGCTATTAAATGGCAGCAGTCGTCCGATGGATTATATTCGCCAAAAAGCTTCTGCTCGCTAGAGTCTTGTGTGGGTTTGGTAGAGGACCGGTTCTGGAAAAACGTGTGGGCTAACATGGCTCCTCCCAAAGTAGAAATCTTTGTGTAGAAGGTAGTGTAGCAGAGAATTCCTGTCTTTACTGAACTCTTGAAACAGAATGTCTCGGGAGTGGTCGACAGCCTTTGTGTGTTTTGTAAGAAGGAGCCCGGATTGATCAATCACCTCTTTGTCTCCTGTGAGATTGTTTGGAGGGTTTGGCAAAGATAGTGTAGACTTTGGAAGGCAGAGCTCGTTTTTCCTGTGAATCCTATGTCTCTTGTGGAAATTTGGTGTTCAATGAAATTTCATAGCAAGGCCAATGCAATTTGGAACATGCGTTTCTTTGGATTCATGTGGGACCATTTGGCTATGCAGAAATGATATTATGTTTAAAAATTGCAGCATAATTGAAGACTGTATTTTTGAATTAGCGGTTTTTAGGATGGGTTGCTGGGCGAAAAACAATTGGCATCAATGCTGTTGGACTATATCTGATTTTATATGTAACCCTGCCGGTTGTGTTATTGCTTAAATTTGCTGTTTGCAGGCTGCTTTTTCTGTTCAATTTGTTTCCAGATGTGTTTTCTGAGTTGTTGCAGAGTTTGCCTTGTTCTGGTGCTCGTATGGTTTGGGGCATGTATCTGTCCTGGAATGGGTTTTGTGGTTGCATACAGTGCTGCAGTTATGCATGCGGTTTCCTGTTTCTGGTGTGTGGTGCTTGGTCTAGTGTGTTATGGAGGATTTTGTCTTGATGGCAAGCCGATTTTGGTTCTGTTGCTCTTGTGGCTGTTTATGGACTGTTATGCTGCTGTCTTCGGGTTGTGTCTTGTTTGAGTCCTAAGGATTCGGACCGTGAGGCTCCTAGTTTCTTTGCAGGTGGGTGGGTTTAGGAGGTCTCTTTACTGATTTAGACTGATCCTGTTTCTTCCATGGGGATTTTATTTTGCGTCAATGATTCATTTGTAAGCATTGTTTGTCCTTGACAACTATAACTGTACTATTTTCCCTCTCGTTTAGGATTAGGATGGTTTTTCAACGAGACCCTTATGGTTGCATCTTTGTACGTGTATTCCTTGATTCGTACATAAAAAGTTCTTTCCAAAAAAAATGAATATGATAAGCAATTAAAATACATCTGGCATATCAGCTTTTTTAGCATTAAACGTTACCCCACTTAAAGATTTTACTTGTCTTTAATTAAAAATACACGGACCTGATTACTTGGATGGAGAATAGAAAGACTAATTTGCACTATTCAGCCCCATGAAAATAGAGATATCTTTGATAATTTATGGGTAAATTAAAAATTTGATAATTGAACTTTACTCCCTTTTATTTCACACATTGTATTTTAAATCTTTTCAATTTCCTCACTGAATTTAATATATTAGATTTTTTATTACTCAATCGTTTTCTCACTAACGGCGTTATAAATGAACTGTTATATATATACAAAATGACATCATTTTGGTAATAATTTTTTTTAATAGAGTTTTTTTAACACCGTTAATTATATAATGGTGCAGTGACAAAAAATCTAATGTATTAATTTCAGTGAGGAAATTGAAAACTTTAAAAGTTTAGTGATGAAATTTGTAATTTACCCATAATTTATTTTCAAAAAAAAAATAATGAGTCCAGATAATGCAGCTATGCTTTAAATGCCGATATGTCGTTGCACAAAAAAGAGCAACTAGAATGAAACATGAGCAAAGAACACATACTTGAGTATGTAAGAGTTAAGTAGTAAGTCCATTATTTAATTTAGAAGCGTCTCCTTCGAAGTTGAGCCCATGCTATAGCCGCAACAGCTGCACCTCCCAGATGAGCCGATCCTGAAATATGACTATTTCCCTACAATGCAAAAATGAAATGGTTGGATGATATTAGACCTTAAGTTTGTGAGTTTTGGAAGTAAAATTTCATATAGCCAGTAGCGGTCGCTCGGAGTTGGTCAATGTAGTTGAGGCAGCTCAAGATAAGGTGAATAGCCAAATGAAAACCAAGTAAAAATTACAAAGGCGCTAAAAAACACATTTAATTCCCAGATAAAGCCATATTGTAAGGTTAACACCAACCAAAGGACAAACCCTCAACTCTAATGATTCTATAGTACATGATCTAAATCATGTCATTAAGCAGCACGTCTACAGAATGACATCTACAGGATTACTAGAAAAATTGTTAGTCTAGTTGCAAGTCAAGGAAGCTGGTGCCATTGTGTCCACACATCTATTTGCTACAAGAAAGAAGCAAAACAACTTGCAGGAGCAAATCCAACTGAAGCTACTGATTGGCAAAGTTACACAACAACTGGCTTTTGTTTGGTGCCGAAAAATTAACACATACATGCATATTTTCAACCAGAAACACGACATAATACATCAACTTAAGATTATGTTTGAAAATGAACTTAGGCGAATAAACAAGAAGAGTTGCAGAATGATGAACAATATACCTCTGTTATCCTTAATATATCCTTCCCAATAAGAAATATGCCCTGCAAAATAAATAATGTATAAACAATTATGCAAAGGATTGTAAGCTTAAAATGTCACTTTGTAAGCATAAACTAGAAGCATGCTTACCAATAACATGGCAGGCACTGGTATGATGAAATCGAAATAAAGAGTAGCTTTTGGGTTCAGAAATATATCAAGCAGCATTATAGCATTAACAGCTCCACTTGCCCCCTAAATGACACAAGCAGATCATAACTTAAACATGTTTTAAAGTGTGATTTGTTGCATTAGCTGCATAATAGAAAGTCAGAGAAATAATTAGGGATTCTAAGAACCAAAATAAGTTTCTCATTACTTGCCCTCCCCACTTGGAACAAAAAAGCAAGACGGCATGCAAACAATGAGCATGATTACAGATCAAAATGACATGTAACATAAAAAATGGGTAAACTTGTATGAGGGAGAAAGAAAGTCTATGATTGCAAAACCAAAAAAATGAGGGTAACATGTGCGTGTTCTGTTGGTGGGTTTATAAAGGAAGAATAAAACCTTCAATCACATTTCTTGGCAAATGGAAAAAGACTAACTAGTCAGGAAAACAAATAAGAAAAGAATCAGACCTTAGACATTCAAACCCCAATTAAAGTGTTACTTTAAATGCTTAAAGTTACAGACTATCAAAGTCAAAGTTCCTTAACTTTAAGCAGTTAATAATACTTGGATAGAAGAAAATTTATGTTACTGTTTGGTTACAGTCATTAACAGAAAAGTCTCGAAACGGAAAAACAAAGGTCATCACAGGAGCATCATGCACTGAAGGCTAAGAGCATACCAGTCCTGGAGTCCTTGAAGGGTCCATCCAAGTTCCTTGTCCCTGTGGTAGATGGCTAATAGTGAGAAAGGACCAAATCATATATGAAAAAAAAATTCCTATGCCATAACACACGAATCTTTATATAATATCAAAATGCAAGCATTATACTGAATAAATTAGAAGATTTTATTCTTGTAACATCCAGAATGGACTTCTCATGACAGACCTGTACAACCACACATTTGCGTCAGCTGGGCGGTGCACTCTATATGGATTAAGTTGGATTTCTAGTGGTGCTATCAAAAACTTTAAGATTGTCCACCTATTGCTAGTTGGCTTTTGGTGGTTAGTGCAACATCATATGACTGAGAGCTTATAGGGTTTGTTGTCCCATCCATTATTTGTTATTCGTTATTCATTATTTGTTGCCCCACATTTGCTAGTAACTTGTTGCCATAAATTGTTCTTATCGAACTTTTTTTTTTGACAGGAAAAATAATTTAGATTTGGCATTTGTTCCTGTCATACAACAATAACTCAAGATTTAGAGGGTATGAATTTAGATATTTCTTGCAGCATGTACCTTAGCCAAAAGTGCATGGTGCACCAAGTAAAATATTGAACCACCTATGGCCCCAGCTAGATACAACTTCAGCAAATATTCAGGTCCAAATGTTCTTGCAATCTGCACAATGCAAAATAATAAGCAAAGAAATTAAAACAGTTAATGCTCCAGGTTATTAAAGGGGTAAAAGAAAGAAGAAAAGGGCAAGGAAGAACACCATGCAGATATAGCATACAGAGACAGAAATCAAAATGTAACAAGCTTGGTTGTCACGTGAATTAAATCCCCCAAGTCAACAGAGTAACATGGAACCACCATTATGCTTATCTCACAAAGTTGAAAGAAGGAAATATAATGAAATTTTACACTGAAGCAGTAGAATGAGATAGCAAATAATGTTGTCCGTAAAACAATTATTTTTCTTTCTTAGTACCTTCATGCATCACAATCTCCAATGCAAGAACAATGAATATTATGTTAGATAGCTTATCCTAAAAGTTTAATGTTCTCTCTAATATAAGTTTTCTCTTAAAACTTAAAAGCAGAAGGAACTTCAAATACAGATAGTAATGCAGTTCATTAAAAGCTGGTGAGGGAAATGTTGCTGTGACAAAGTGTAGAGCATATTACGCTGTTAAGATTGTGCCACCGCAAACCATGTTTTAAGAAAAAATGTAAGTCTCTAGTCAATTTATAAATTCTTGAATAAATAATGAGTATTATTTATATACAAGTTAAAAAATCAAATTATATATGTTTCTTACACAGTTTTAATTTCCAGCAGTCTGTTAACTAGCACCATATATACGATAAAAACCATAACTTAAAGGTCAAAAAGAAGCAGTTTGTAATACATAAATACGGGTAAGAAAATAAATTGTAACCAAATAAAAGATTTCAATAATTATACATTGTACCCAAAGAAATAAAGTCCAATCATGTTAGACACAATGTGCTCAAGATCAATATGACTGAATGCTGAAGTGATCAGTGTATGCAAGCGTCCAGATATAAAATTGTCCAATGAAACCTGCTCACAACATAAATTAGTTAGAAGGGGAGGATAAAATTAAAAGAAATATTAAACTAATAGATGAACTTTAGAGAACATCTAATCCCGAGAAATTTGGAAGGTCTTGTCGGCATGCGTTAACCCTCAGGACCAAGGCCTGTCTACCACTACAAATGCTTAACTATTATATTAAAAAAAAGGATATAACAAACATTTAAGGATGTGCATACAATAGATTAAAATATTACAATCACCATAATAGAAATAACACTACCATTAAGGGGCTCCATTTTTGTACCTAGAACGTCGGTTTCAACCAGGAAGTAGATTTACAGAAAATAGGAAGCAGGAGAGCAAAATCTAGAATTGACACTTTATTTTAACAAGCAAGTCAAAAGGCTAAGGACACACCATAAAGTTATCCATCATAAATCGTCTATCTGCAATCCGCCATAATAAAAAAACGGCAACATTAGTTAAAACCAAGCCCAAAATCATGTCACTTGCTGAAAACCGTTGGAACCATGATCTCCTGCAAACAAGGGAAAGATTATTGACATAGCACAGTCAAGCAATAATCATAAACAGGTTCAACGCTAGCTGCATTGCATTTTTTGTCATCCAAGAATAGAATATTAACCTAATCTCTATCAATATATGATTAAAGGGGGTCGAATTTCAATATACAACAGAAATAAAAAATGATACGATAAATTGTAAAATAAATAAATAAAGTTACCAACGATTCTTCAAAAGAGCAAAAGTGGGACCAAAACCCAATCTTCCTTTAGGAATCTGAGGCTTGAGAAACTGAACTCTGGAATAAAGAAGGCTTCTGCTTGAAACTTTTTGATGGGTAGTTGAGAAATTAAGCCAAAAACGCTTTGGATAAACTGGATATGAGAACCCCTGAATTTCCCCGGTAAAACTGGGCTTTGATGGCCATTGGCGCAAGGAGGCAGATCTTATAAAATGGTATTGGGGGATGGGCTTGGCGATGGAAGAGACTGATTTGTACGGAAGGGAACGGAGAAGTGAAGAAGAACTGGTGAAGGCTGAGGCTTGTTTCAGGGAAAGAAGCCTATGCATCTTTCGTCCTTGACCTTAGGGTTTTGAAAATTTTGTTTCCGGTTTTGAAAGCTTCCCACTTATCAGACTCAGTTACCTTTTGAAGGGAGTTTGCTTTGCTTAGCTTAGTCGCAAGACACTGATACCAGAGGGAAGTTAGGCGCATAAAAAACGGCTAAAAAAACGGTGTAATCGGTTAAATAAGTGATCAGTTAAAATTTAGATCGGTTATATTATATTATTTAATTATAAATATTGTAACAACCTGAGGAAAAAAAAACCAATTTAAATTGGTGTAATTGGGTGAAATTAAATGACTAAATTAAAATTTATGAAAATTTGTAGGCCATTTTCGAAATAAACTGTCGGCAGGATTGGTGTTATAAGCGTGTTTTCTAGTTTTAAACCAGAAATTACAAATGATAATTGCTTAAATTTCCTCTTCTTGTACCCTTACTTCCAAGCCCATTTCCGACGCCGTTCGACCTCTAATCGTAAAATTGAAACCACCGTCGTGTTCATCTTCGACCCGTGAACAAAACCCAGTAAATCAATTATAGCGAAACGCTGCCAAACGACGTGAATTTCGAGTCAAAGTCTTGATGTTTTTTTAGCACTACTGCCGAGAAAATCTTAAATTCATCTCCGATCGTTGATCGGTTTTCGACACCTCCCGCACCATCGTGTTCCTTGTGCCGTTTCGAGTTCGCCGGTGTCAACTTTGGTCTCCGTCGACGGCGGCGCGTGAGGAGGTGGAGTAGTCAAAGATTCGGCCGAGTTGAAATCGAGCTCTCCGCCGTTCAAAAATTTGAACCGATCTTTGTAAGTATCTCGAAATCGCTCAAAATAATTTTTAGAAATTTTTCCGTAATTTTTAAACCCCCGGAGGAGGCCTCACGCGCCACACGCGCCGCCGCAGGGAGAGTAAGTGGCTGAAAATCGGTCTGACCGGTCTGAACCGGTCTGACCAACCCGACCGTTGACCCGACCCGATCGTTGACCGTTGACCATTGACCGTTGACTTCCTTTGACCAAAACTTAAAATGGCTTTGACCGACCTTTAAACGATCGTTAATCTTTTCCGAGTATACCTATTCTGATAGTTTTCGACGTCCCAAATCCGTTTCCGAAGTCCGTTTCGTCAAATTCGAAAGTCATACTTTAAGTTTTTCGACGTCCTGATTCCGATTCCGCAATCCGTTTGCCCAAATTCAAACCTGAAATCCCCCAAATTGATAGTCAAACCCTAAAAATGCTTATATACTTAAGAATTTTAGCTTTGAATAATTAAGTAGGATTTTGGGGCTGATAAATTATTATTTGTTTGAAGGTACAAGAGACTCTCCGGATCGTTCGACAGCTCGACCCAGCTCTTCTAGATCAGTTAAACCACGTATGCCAGTATTCACCCGTAAGACCCGTAAATTTTATGATTTTAAAGATTTATTTATGTTACCCATTAGTAATATAGTGTTATTATAAATTAGGTTCGAAAACTGTAGCAGAGCGTGGTGAAACCAGTAATCAGTAGATCTACTATTTGAACCTATTATCGAGGTGTGTTCCCTAATTATTACTGAACTGTTTTATTGGTTTTAATATGAGGTACACTGAGTTCTTTGGTTACTGTTTTATTGATGCACTAATTTAATGTGATGATTTATGGAATTTGTGTCACGGTGCAATTGAACTTTTGGATTGAATTACAATAGTATAGCTCTGATCAAGCTAATAAACAGAATGGGCCTAATGTGACTCTTGGGGCCCCAAGATACATTAGGTTGGCTTCCATTGCTGTGTGCTTAGGGTAAGCTATATGGACTTAGACTTACGGGCTTAAGGATACAAGTTATAAAGCTTATCCTTAGGTTTGCTTTCTTTTTACTGTGTGCTTAGAGTAAGCTATATGGAATTTTTTTTTTTTGGAAATTACTGATGGTGTACAAGAAAAGAGTTTAAACTATGATTTTCAAAAGTTAAACTCTTTTATGAATTTATGAGATTTACTGGACTATGATTTGTTTAATGTACCTATTGTGATTTTAAGGTAATATTGGGACACACTGAGCCTAGCTCACCTTTCGAAAATGTTTTTCCCCCTTTCAGATACTGTTGGTTAGATACATCGGTTCGAGCACTTGGAGGATCAACATATCTCTTGAAGTATATCTGATTGTAATGTTTTATCTTGCTAGTTGACTTTATTTTGGTGACATGGACCTTATTTTAAAGTATTGTATTTTAGGATGATGACACTTTTGCTATTACTGTTCGGTTTATTGTGATTTTGATTTTGAAGACCTGTAATAAATTAATTTATTACTTATTGGTATTATATTTACAAGTTGGGTTTTGATGGTATAATTTATTTCATGACATTTATAATGTGATTTTACATTGATTGAATAACGGTTTCAGAAAATGTCTTTAAGAATCATAATGTGATCCACTAGACTTAGTCGAAACGCATAGGTCGGGTCTGGGGGGTTACAAATATTATCAAGCACAATAACATATTAGGTACCGCTTATATAATAAAATAGGTTAATTAGTAGAAATATTATTAAGCACAATAACATATTAGGTACCGCTTATATAATGTAATATGTAACGCTTATATAATGTAATAGGTAGCACTTATATAATAAAATAGGTTAATTACTAGAAACATTATTAAGCACAATAACATATTAGGCAGCGCTTATATAACTTAATATATAGCGTTTATATATTTGTTGAGTTAATCGAATGACGAAATTGGCCAAGAGGGGGGTGAATTGGCAATAAAAATTTTGTGAAAGCTTTTGCAGAAAATTGAAAGTAAATGTACAACGATTTACAGTGGTTCGACTTTCTCAAACAAAGTCTACGTCCACTACCTTAGCTATCCACACTAAGGATTTTCCAACAAATTCACTAATTTGTTCTTTCTTTTGAGGCCAAAGAGATAACCTTACAATTCCCTCAAGAGTATACCCCAACTCTTGAGAACACTCTTTTCTCAAAGAGAAGATTACAAATTTGCAAACTTACAAGAAAACCTCACAAGGTAAGATGTTTGCACAATTCTAGAACAAGAAAAGAACACTCAAAGAAAATTACAAATGAGCACAATAAGTGTTCTTTGAAAGCAAAATGAATATTGAATGAAAATTGGCTTGAATTGCACAAACTTTGTGTTTGATGCTTTCTCTCTTGTTTCTCTATGATTTTCTATTTGATCAAGGGCTTCAGAACTTGTTTAAATACACCTTGGATCACTTTGAACGTTGGGGATGATTAGAGAAGATATTATAGCCGTTTTAGTGTGAAAACATTTAATAAAACAGCTTGGAGCGTGGGGGGAATCGGTTCCCTCTCATAGGGAATCGGTTCCCTAAGTGTAAAATTCAAATATTTCGACCGTTGAACAGGGGGGAATCGGTACCCCCTTGGGGGGAATCGGTTCCCTACGAGCATTCTGGAAATCTCGGAGCCAAACCATTCAGGGGGGAATCGGTTCCTCCTATGGGGGGGAATCGGTTCCCTCTGAGCAATCTGGAATTTTTGGCTTTGAATTGGTTCGAAATACTTTGTAAAATTATTTTGAAATTGTTTTATGATTAAAACTTAATTTTACACTTAAGTAAGGATCAAAAATGATTTTTGAAATATTTGGAGTAATGTTGTGATATTCGAATAGTTATATCGAATATACTTAGAAAATCATTTGGAAAATCTTAAAATCCATTTAACTTAATTTGTTATATCGAAATATTAAAATGTTTCAACAATCTCCCCCTTTTTGATATAACAAAACATTTTAGTAATTTTAAGATTTTTGAAATCAAGTTTTGAAATTACTCCCCCTTACTTTAACACTTATTCTTCTCCCCCTTTTTGTTAAATCAAAAAGACATTGTAAAACAAGGTTTTGAAAATCATTTAGCCAATTGATTTATTAATTATAAGCTTAAGCTGCTAAGATCACAATCAAAAGAGAGGTTAGCCATTAGTTTCATAAATCAATATTCATAAATAATGTGATATGGCAAAATTGGTCATATTGCTAATGATAATGTAAATGATGCAAAAATGAATAAAACACCAAACATATAAGTTCACACCATTCATAAATCCAAAATCCAACAATCCACAAAATCAAACAATTCAAAATGTTGAAACAATATTCATTTTGTTCAAAGTTTTAAAGATAAACATAAAATTAAGCATCCGGATCGGTAGGAGGAAAACGGGCTCGCATAGCGGCCATCTCGTGTGTGAGTTCATTGATACGAGCATTGGTTGATTCATTGTTTGCACGCATCTCCCGAAGAATCTCTAATTGTTGAGCTCCCATTGTGGATAAATGAGACTCTATAGAGGAAAAGCGCGAGTCCATGGTAGCGTATCGGAAATCGAATGTCTCCATAAAGGATTGAAAATATGGAGGCATTTGATGCGTTTGTTGTTCTTGCTCCTCGGGCTGCTCTTCGGGTTGTTCAGGTTCTTCTTCAGCTTCATCAATATCCCTCATTAATTGTTCAAACTCGGGATCTTCGTCAGCCTCGGGTGGAGCTTGTGAAGAACTAGCTCCCGGAGTAGAAGAACGAACCCATTCACCGGTTTCTTTGTCCTTTACCCAACCCGCTCTCGTTAAGGAAAGAAGATTTATTTGTTTCTTAAGAGGAAAAACGGCATCTAGACCGACTCTAAGCCCAGCTTTGGAAAACAGATTACTCAAAAAGCAACCGTAAACTAGAGATGAACAGTGTTTCTTGTTAGGAACAAGATTTACGGTTTCAACAATTTCAGCAAAAATAATCTGAGGTAGGTTAATTTTAATACGGTTTTCGAAACAATGTAACCACCAAAGATCCAAAGCTCTAAGAGTAGAATAACGACCTCCGGATGGTCGAAACCACCAAGAAATCATTAGATGAAGAAAACGCTCATGTAGGTCTAAGACACTCGCACTATCTCTTCTTTTATAACGAGAACCTAAAATTTGTTTTTCATTCGAGATACCATCATTATCTAATCCAAATGTATTGGCTATATATGCCGGGTCAATATATAAGAATTGTCCTAGGAGGTAGGAAC